GCACTCCAGTCTGGGTGACAGAGTGAGACTCCAACTCAAAAAAAAAAAGAAAAAAGAAAGCTTTCTGTATGGAAGAAACACAGTGTCAGAATTATGCCTGAAAAAATGCGGCAGACAAGAAGTCAGAGAAAGGGGGCAATGGCTGTGGTTTGGGAAGTAGCATCCTTGTAGAGTCAGTCACAGCTGAAGATCTGTGGTGTTTCCCAAGGACCAGATCTGGGGAGACAATGTGGGAGAGCGAGCCTGGGATGATCTTAGTTCCCGCCAAAAGGAAGCCTCAGGAGAAGGAGGTCAAAAGAGGGCCCCCAAATGCATCAGACCTTGGAAAGAAACTGATGACTAGCTGGATAGGAATGGACTTGAAAGGTTCAGTGGCATTGGTGGTGGTGGAGTTTACAAAATAACTCAATGCATCCTCTAGGGGGGAAAGAGCCAGATAAGCGTCTGCCAAATTTAAAGGAAGCCAATAGCGGCTAGCCTCCGTGTCTGCCAATCCAGAACTTTCCCACCTGCTTTCCACTAGCCTTAGAGCATTATAAAACAGGAGTAGAAATGGAGGGAAAGAATAGCCAGGCATGGTGGCTCTCGCCTGTAATCCCAGCACTTTGGGAGGCCGAGGTGGGAGGATTGCTTGAGCCCAGGGATTTGAGACCAGCCTGGGCAATGTAGTGAGATCTTGATTCTAAAATAATAATAATAAAAATTATCCGGGCATGGTGGTGTGTGCCTGTAGTCCCAGCAACTCAGGAGGCTGAGGTAGGATCACCTGAGCCCAGGAAGTCATGGCGGTAGCCATGATCGAGCCACTGCATTCCAGCCTGGGTGACAGAATGAGAACCCGAATAAAATAAATAAATAAAATACTTTAGAAAAAAAAGGAGAAAGAAAGAAATGCAGGGAAAGGAAAGAGAAGTGAGTCAGACTTCCTCTCCTGACCTCTGCCTTTTCTGACTTGGCTTCCCTGGGTACAGCAGGACTGAGCTGGTTGTATGGAGGAGAAGTCTCAAACAGAAGTCAATTGTATAATTTTGATTATCACATGGGAGTGGAATTTTAATTACTCAGTGGAGACTGAATGACAAAAATGAAATTGTGGCATGAATGATGACAGACTTTTAAAATTAAACCTCAGAGTGACCAAAAGAGTCATGGAAACTGCTAGATTTTTATCCAGGAGGAAGCTATTGGAGACATGACATAATTGTAGGAACTCTAAGGCTCTGAAGAGAGGATTGAATAAGGAAAAACCAAATATGACTCCAAGATGGCATTTGCTCTTTGAGTCTCTTGAAGGTCTATAACTCCTTTGGTCATTTAGGACCCATTTCAAGCTCCTACTTGATCGTTTCCATGTGCTGAAATCATCAGATATTGATTTGTTTAATCCTAAAACTTTGTCAAAGGCAAATACACTAATTCTTTATGAACAAGGGGAATTGGTTGTAACACAAGTGAAGGGACTATTCTTGCAGCATAGAGGTCACAGAGTAGAAACTGTGTCTCATTCATCTTTGGGTTCTAAGAACCCAACATGATACCTAGAACACAGCAGGCACTCAGTACACATTAGTTGAATCGATGGATGAGCAGACAGTAAATAACTTACAGATACTTGATAAACTCCTGTGCTCTACACCAGGTACTATACAAGTTGTAATCATAGTGGCCATATCAAAGAATCGAACTGAATCCAGACTCGGCCAATTTTTCCCTCCTAGAGACCCCTAAAACTAATCACCACTCCATTTGGGTCTGAATTCATCTGGGTAAGACTGCTGAATGCCATGGGCTTTCTCCACTTGAATTGTGAAAATCTGATGTAGTGGACAACTTTCATCTAGGAAGAGTCAGAACACGTGGGTTCTAATTGCAACTTCATTCTTCGTCTGCCTTATGAATGTGAGCAAGTTTCTCCAAAAGCTTTAGTTACTTATCAGTAAAATATAGAGGATAACATTTTACCTAGGCGGGTATGTGGGGGATGAAATGAGATCATGAGAAACATAATATATTACTGGTTTTGTTACCTCGGAGACTGTAGGTGTCTTAGGTGTCACAAATAATTCACTAGTGCCTGTTGTGAAGTAATAGCAGGTGTTCCCTTAGGCCCGCCTTATCCTAGCTTAATCCCTAATGCATTCTTTTCATACCATAAGCATTCAATAAAGGTTTACAGATTAATTTATTTTGACATGAGAACTTCTACTTTCTTGTCGCTAATTCTGACTATTTCTTTTTAGATCTAGCATTTTCTTTATCAATCTGTTTGAATATGTGTTTACTTTGCTTGGATATCTTTATCCAAATGCATATTGGTAATAAATCAAAATATTTTGAAGACTGAAAGCTTTCATTCCCTTTTTGTGATAGATACTACTCGTTCCAAGAAGAGTTATGAAATGAATGGGCGTGAGTATCACTACGTGTCCAAGGAAACATTTGAAAGTCTCATCTACAGTCACAGGTAAAGCAGATGTCCAGAAACTAATTCCTGCTTCTGGTTGTTTTATATTCAAAATAGATTCCCTATTTTTATGTATTTTCTAAAGCTCCTGGAACAATTCCCTTTGTGTCTAAAGAGTTATGCAAGGATGTTACACTGATGTATTTGTATTAGTACACCAACTCATTGGGTTTAGAAAGGAGCAGAATTGAGTTGCAAACTGTAGAGAATTTGAGGATGTAGATAAATCTTAGATCTCCTATTTTTTTTTTGTCCTGCTGAATTTCCATTAATTCTTGTGCTAGCAAAATCCACATATTTATTTTCAGTTCCACTGGAGTTTATTCTTCTGTTATTACTAATATTGTACTTGGTTTTTTTTGTTGTTGTTTGTTTTGTTTTGCTTTGTTTTTGAGTCAGAGTCTCACTCTGTCTCCCAGGCTGGAGTGCAGTGGCACAATCATGGCTCACCACAGCCCTGACCTCCTGGGCTCAGGCAATAGTTCTGCCTCAGCCTCCCAAGTAGCTGGAACCACAGGTGCACACCACCACACCTGGCTAATTTTAAAATTTTTTGTAGAGTCAAAGCCTTGCCATATTGTCCAGGTGGTCTCAAATTCCTGGGCTCAAGCAATCAATCCTCTTGCCTTAGCCTAGCAAAGTGCCAGGATTACAGGTGTGAGCCACCGTACCCAGCAATATTTTACTTGTAGAAAGAGTTCCTGTTTTCCTTGTCCCACCCTCTCAGGATGCTGGAATATGGCGAGTACAAAGGCCACCTGTATGGCACTAGCGTGGATACCGTCCAAGCAGTCCTTGATGAAGGGAAAGTCTGTGTCATGGACCTAGAGCCTCAGGTGGGTTCATGGTAGAATACTTCTCATCTCCCCAAGTAACAAATGCATGTCATCCATTTTGTGCACACCTCTAGGTTATAGTTGAGACATTTTATTCTGTTCACCTTTTAAGAATACGACCTCTTCTCACATCTAAGATCTTACCTGAAGCGTCAGTTGTCAACACCTTGCTTTTAGCTGAGGAAGAAGTCTTGCTTCTCAGACACAAAAGTAGAACTGAGTGGGTGGCAATAAAGAAAAGTTAGAATCTTTTAAAAAAATCCTTAGTTTTGATCCAGGAGGTACATATGCATGTTCATTACATAGACATATAGTGTAGTGGTAGGGATTGGGTCTTGGGTGGTCCGGTCCGCAGACGGTTACTATTGCAACCTACAGGAAATTTATGAACCCTGACTTCCTCTCCCCACCTCTCCCCTTATTATGTCCCAGTGTTTATTATTTCCATCTTTGTGACCATTTAACTTTTGAACTGACTCAGAAACAGAAAACTAAACTCCACATGAGAGAGAACATGTGGTGTTTAGTTTTCTGTTTCTGAGTCAGTTCAAAAGTTATAATTTCGCTGAGACCTTGATCACAAATACATCAAGGTAACTTCATGTGGAGGGAATAAGGTGTTGCTTTGCACAAGGAGGCCAGGTTGCTGTCGTCATATCTGTGGCTACTTCCTGAGACAAAACAGGAACAAAGCAGGAGTAAGCAAATTAAGGTAAGAGAGAGAACTTGCAATCTGTGGGCTCAATTTTTATGATTCTTTTATTTTCTTTGTGTCTTCCTTAGTCATTAAAAATATACTCTAGAGAAATGTACTAAAGAGAATCAGGGGAAGAGAGATTTGTTTTTACTTGGGCGGAGGCTGGTGAAGATGACTTTGTGAAGATCCAATATGAGAAAGCAGCAAGAGGAAAAGAGGGAGAAACTTAGCTGATCCATCTTGAGAGTCTGTCTTTGTCATGTGAGATCATGTGCAGACTTCTACTCTCAGTAGGTTGGTAAGAGTCTCTATAGGAAAGACTCTTACTCAGCTAGTAAGACTTCAAGAGCTAGTCAAAGGTAGTAAGAGGAAGAAGCAGGATTTGAGCATAATTTTGATTTTAGAGCCCATCTCTAAATTATTAAAATGTTTGTTTGTTTTTTAGAATTGAGGATGTGGGAACACATGAGACCATACTCTGGCTAAAAATAATTGATAAGCTTTCTGGTCTTCATAGACATTTTGAGTTCATGTTAATTCTAGGAAGTCAGGATTCCTGTTCTTTTTTTTTTTTTGAGTTGGAGTCTCACTCCATTGCCCAGGCTGGAGTGCAGTGGCACACTCATGGCCACCCCAGCATTGACCTGCTGGGCTCAGGCGACCCTTCCGCCTCAGCCTTCCAAGTAGCCGGAACTACAGGTGTGGCTACCATGCCCAGCTAATTTTTTGATTTATTGTAGAGATGAGGTCTCACCAAGTTGCCCAGGCTGTCCTCGAACCTGTGGGCTCAGGCTATTCCCTCACCTTGACCTCTCAAAGTGCTGGGATTACAGGCTTGAGCCACTGTGCCCAACCTGGATTCCTGTTCTTAAATGTGCATTTAATTTCTCTGTGTAGGATATTCAAATGACTCGAACCCATGAACTGAAGCCCTATGTCATATTTATAAAGCCATCTAACATGAGTTGTATGAAGCAATCTCGGAAAAATGCCAAGATTATTACTGACTACTTTGTGGACATGAAGTTCAAGGTAAGATCAAGTTAAAAATCACTGTGTTGCTTTCAGTGACTTTGAAGCCAGGAAGGTCTGGGGGTTGGGCCAGGTTGAGGACCTCAGATCTGTCTTCCTCCCCCCTTATTCACCCTTTCCCCGAAGTCCCTCAATAAAATGGTTTAATACAAAAAATTAAAGGTCACTGTATTGTTTCTATATGATTTCTATCTTACAGAATGTAAATTTGTTTCTAATGAGCAATACCCTTATTATTTATCCTTTTTACTGGACATCACTTAAAGATATCAAAATAAAGTTTAATAAATGATGGATGCTATCCATATTTTGGAGGGAGGGGTCTAACTTAAAAAAATAAAAAAAGATCAAGCCACAGTTTACAAATCCACACAGAAAATGGGTAAGTACAAGCCTGATATTTGTATTTTAAACAGATTATTCATCTTAACCTAAATGTTTACTTTAAAAATGCTCTAGTGATGGCCAGGTTTGGTGGCTCAGCCTGTAATCCTAGCACTTTGGGAGGCCAAGGTGAGTGAATGATCTGAGCCTACAGGTTCGAGATCACCCGGGCAACTTGGTGAGACTTCGTCTCTACAATAAATAAATAAATAAATAAGTAATTAGCCAGGCATGGTAGCACGTGCCTGTAGTCCTGGCTACTAGGAAGGCTGACGAGGGAGGATTGCCAGAGCCCAGCAGGTCGACGCTGGGGTGGCTGTGGGTATGCCACTGCATTCCAACCTGGGTGATAGAGTGAGACTTCACCTAAAAAAAGGAGGGGTCTTGTTAAAAATCAGGAAATCTATAAATATTTGGGCAACCCCTTTGGGTCCCCTCCCACTGTGGGAGTTCTTCTGTCTTCTCAATAAATCCTGCTTTCTCAAAACAAAAACAAAAACAAAAAACAAACAAAAAACTCTAGTGAGTATATCTTATCTGTAATGAAGTATCTCACAAAAAATATTTATCAATGATGGTTATAATAGCGGGGTCAAGCCAGGTGGGAGTTAATCAGTTAACATCTTAGGTGATTTTTTAAAAAATTGAGTTGAGGTCTTACTCTGTCGCTCAGGCTGGAGTGCAGTGGCACAATCATGGCTCACTACAGCCTTCATCTTCTGGGCTCAAGCAATCCTCCCACCTCAGTCTCCCAAGCAGCTACAAGTTCTCCCCACCATGCTTAATTTTTTAAAAAAATTTTTGTAGAGACAAGGTTTTGCTATGTTGCCTAGGCTAGTCTTGAACTCCTGAGCTCAAACAGTTCTGCCTTGACCTCCCAAAGTGCTGGGATTATAGATATAAGCCACCACTTCTGGCCCAGTTTTATATATATATTACATTAAATCCACTTTAAATACTTTGAGTCATAACATATACTCAGTAAGGTATATAAATATTTTTGAGTCAGAGTCTCACTCTGTCGCCCAGACTGGAGTGCAGTGGCATGCTCGTGGCTACCCCAGTGTCAACCTGCTGGGTTCAGGCGATTCTTCTGCCTCAGCCTTCCAAGTAGCCTGAAGTACAGGTGTGCACTACCATGCCCAGCTAATTTTTTGATATATTGTAGAGACAAGGTCTCACCAAGTTGTCCAGGCTGGTCTTGTACCCCTGGGCTCAGACAATCCTCTTGCCTCAGCCTCCCAAAGTGCTGGGATTACAAACTTGAACTACCATGCCTGGCCAGTTTCTTTTTTTTCTGAGTTGGAGTCTCACTCTGTCGCCCAGACTGGAGTACGGTGACACACTCATGACTACTACTGTCTCTACCTGCTGGGCTCACGTGATCCTTCCGCCTCAGCCTTCCAAGTAGCTGGAACTACAGGAGCGCGATAATTTTTTATTTATTGTAGAGACGATCTCTTGCCAAGTTGCCCAGGCTGGTCTTGAGCCCCTGGGCTCAGGCAATCCTCTCGCCTTGGCCTCCAAAATGCTGGGATTACAGGCTTCAGCCACCGCGCCCAGCCAGTATATAAATCCTAAGGGCACAGTTCAATGAATTTTGACATGTGTATGCACCCAGATAACCATTACCAGATCAAGATATTACAGCCACTTCTTTGTGTAGTAAAAACACATAAAACTTACCATCTTAATACTTTTAGGTGTACAGTTTGGTAGTGTTAAGTATATTTATATCATTGTGAAACAGATCTCCAGAATTTTTTCACCTCGTAAAACTCAAGCTCAAAATAGGAATGATTCATAAATTTGTGTGTCCTCCTTGCACAGGGGTTGTGCTAATCTCTATATCTTACAATTTTAGTATATGTGCCGTCAAAGCAAGCATGAGGTATCTTTGTATTATCCTTTATCTCTTATTTTTATCTTCATATTTTTTCAAGGACTATGAAAGTCAGATTTTCCAGTTTGTTTTTTGAACAGTGGAGTCCATAGACACGTTCTCTGAATTTTATAGGCATTTTAAATGGGTCTCATTTTTATGGCAGTCTAAACAAATTAGCAAAATTGTTTCTGAATCCTATGTATGGTCACTTTGTTGTTTTTTTTTTTTTTTTGAGTTGGAGTCTCACTCTGTCGCCCAAACTGGAGTGCAGTGGCCGCTCCCAGGCACCGCAGCCTCGACCTGCTGGGCTCCGGCGATCCTTCTGCCTCAGCCTTCCAAGTAGCCGGAATTACAGGCATGAGCTACCACACCTGGCTGATTTTTTGATTTATTGTAGAGATGAGGTCTCGCTGCCCAGGCGGGTCTCGAACCCGCGGGCTCAGGCAATCCACTCACCTCAGCCTCCCAAAGGCGCGGGGTTCCAGGCTGAGCCACCGAGCCCGGCTTATGTATGGTCACTTTGTAAAGAAGGGCTGCCCCAAGCTTCCCATGTCTGCATGTGTGTTTAGGATTGCATCGGTAACAAGTTGTACTATTTTAATTGCCAGAACACATAAGAAAATAACAGCAGTGAATTTAATGCATTGGTGCCAAGTGAAAGCCAAAGGACCTTCATTAAATGAACATTTCACAATGGTAGAAATAGATACTATTATAGGCAAATTAAGTCACCATGCAGCAGAGTAATTTAGGTATGACTAATTCAACAGCACTGGGTAATACCATCTTCATGTTGAAAGTGGCCATTTTGTATCTGCAAAAGTTATTTATTTATTTTTTTTGAGAGGCAAAGAAAGAAAAGTTTATTTAAAAGTAAATTAGAGAGAGAGAAGAGAGAAAGCATAATGTCATTCTTAATCAGATTAATGTTCATTTGAAATTTATGCTTAAGTTTTATTTAAACTGGTACATTTTCTTTGGTTTTAGGTTGTAAATAGTTTGAGAGCTTTAAGTGTTTAGATAATAGAGTAAAAATAATTCAAGTTCACATGGGAAGCTGAGAGGAGTAATCTGTCTACAAACTACTATTACTAGATTTTGCAAAATATTGACCAAAGATTGAAACACAAGTTTTGTAGTTTAAAAGACATTATTTGATCTAACTGGTTTTTAAAATAGTGACACAACTGAATTTGACAGCATAACACACTGTATGTTTTCTCTATTTGTCTCATTAAGTCTTTACTATACTTTTCTATTTCTCCTAAAGGATGAAGACCTACAAGAGATGGAGGATTTGGCCCAAAAAATGGAGACTCAATTTGGCCAATTTTTTGATCATGTGATTGTGAATGACAACTTGCAAGATGCATGTGCCCAGTTGTTGTCTGCTATACAGAAGGCCCAGGAGGAGCTTCAGTGGGTACCAGCAACATGGATTTCCTCTGATGCTGAGTCTTCATGACTTCCTGTTTAATGTTGGAGCTTTAACACTGTACCTTTGTTACAGAGATCTGGAATAACTGCTACAATCTAAAACAGCAGTATTGCCCATTATGATGTGTGCAACTTTAAACGTGCAGCAGCTTATTAATCTTATTTGGAAAAAATTGTCTTGTACAGTTATGTAGTTACCTATTTGGCTCTCAGGAAAGCTGTTTTTCCTTTACCTCAATGCAGCAGTGGTGGGAATATGAATAATGTTAAGTCACTGAGTGTGAGAACCTCATAAATTCCATATGGTCTTTGTAAGGTTTCCTAAATAAAATAAGTAGTATTTAATTTCAGAAATTGTATTTTACTTTGTTAAGCTTGTTTTATGAAAATGCTTTTTGTAAAAAGTACCTACTTGACCTGGCAAGGTTGATATACATATTTCACATCTATCATCAAAACCCACAGAAACTGCATTGCTGCCATCATTTACAAATCAGGATACAAGGAAGAAATTCTTATCAGGGCTATAGCAATCATTATTTTTCCTAAAAGCCAATATCCACATGTATGCCTGAATTAGGAAAGGGCAATGGACCAAAGACTTCTATATAAGAAAACCACAAGCGGAGGATGCTGTTATAAAGTCTTGTTTCCCTTCCCCTAGATCTGACTTCAGGGGCTCTTCTGCCCCTGTACCTGTCCATTTTCTGCACGGTTCTCTTTTCTCTCCACGTCCACACTTTCCTCCATCCTCCCATCTTCGTCTTCACTAGAAACAGAATGCATGATTCAAAATATCAAAGTACTATTCAAGTAAAATAGTTTTTTACTTGAAGTCAAAAAGTTATGTCTTAAAACAAACAAAACAATGAAAATGACTTTATTTTGAGTCAGGGTCTCACTCTGTCGCCCAGGCTGGAGTGTCACGACCACCGTTCACCGCAGCCTCGACTTTTTGGGCTCAAGCGACCCTCCTTCCTCAGCCCCGGAGTATTTGGGACTACAGGCGCACGCCGCCACGCCCAGCTAATTTTTTTTAAAAAGTCATTTAAAAATACTATTTCTGTGAGCTCGGGTTTGATTTCATGTTGTGGTTCTCCGAGAAAGAAAATTTCCCCAACCTTGATTTACCTCGTTGTGGGACGGAGGGTAAGCAATAGAGAAGGTGACCACTGCACACCACTGCACATTCCCGAGTCCCCGCGGGAGCCGCCGGGCCGGGGAGCGAACGCGCTCGTCCCTAACCCGGGCCTGGCGGGGCAGAGGCGGGCGGGCCCCGGCCCGGAGTGGGAGGGGGCGGCCTCCCCGGCAGCCACGCAGCCCCCGCCTCCTGCAGCCCCGGGAGACCGCGGCGCCGCGGGGAGCTGGGCGCGGGCCGCAGGCCGCGGGCCGCGGGCGGTTGCGCCGAGGGAGTCCCGCGGGGAGAGCGCAATGAGGGCCGAGCCGGGGCCCGGGCTGGAGGTGGGCCACCCGGTGAGCGGCGGGGCGCGTAGGCCACGAGAGGCGGGGGGACCCCAGAGCAGCAGCTCCCTGAGGGCGGGGCCGACGCTGACGAGCTGGGGACCCCCGCGGGAGCGCCCTGTGCGTAGGTGCGCGCATCGCCCGTTGGGCGTTCACGGGGTCGGACTGGGACCCGGGCGGGGCCGGGACCCGATCTCCCGGAGTGGGAGAGGATCCAGGCGTGAGGGTTCCGGGACCGGGGCCCGCATTGCCATGGCGACGCCTCACTGCCCGGCGGCCCTGGGCCGGGTGCCGGCGCTGCCTGGTGGGCCTCCCCTCAGACTCCCCGGAGAAGCGGGCTCAAGTCCCCCAGAAGGGAGATCGTCGTTGCCCCGGGGGACTCTCAAGGGTCCTTCCCTCCTACAAATCACCGCAGCCACTCAGGAACCATGGGGAACCGTGATTGCAGCCCCACGCCCGTGATCGCTGCTCCTGGGCCCGGAATTCCCAACTTCAAGGCCCACTTTCCCGCAGGGCCACTCAGAAGACGTCAGACCAGGTCACCGCGCGCCCCTCGCCCCACTCACTTCCCCCGGGGCCTGCGGGTGGGGCGCGGCCGGGGGGGCGCAGCACGAAGACCCGCCAGGCATTGCGCCTGCGCGCGGTCCCAGGTGGTGCAGCCAGATGACGTATTCCGCTTGTGCGCGGCCGGCCGGGCGCTGCCGCTGGGCAATGAATTGCGCCTGCGCGCGGCCGGGCGGGCCGGGGGGCGGGGCAGGGTGCCTAGCGCCAGGGGGCGGCGGCCGGGGACCCAGGCGGGATGGGGAAGAAGCAGGCGGTAAGCGAACCTTAGTTCCTTTTGGTTGTTAGGGGTTTTGTCTTCAGCTGAGCTGGCCTACTTTTGAGGGGCTTAGCGATTGTGCGTCTGGATGGGCGAAACGTCATTTTTGCGGGACTTTTGAAACGAGGAGTTCTGTGAGCGGGTCCTGGGATAGACCGCTCGCTTCGCGGCATCGTAGTGCCACAGCGCTCTGGTGGGGCTGTCTTTCTTGTCCAGCTGTTATCTTGACTACTGGATGGTATCACGGCAGCCTGTCCTGTTCTAATCTTGTAGCGTTGTATCAGTCTACTCTTCGAACGGATGGATTGCTAAATGGGACAGATGACAAAAGTGTCTAAACTTAACCCTTTTGAATCAGTGTCATATGCAAGCAGCATTAGATACTTGGAACGTTAAATTGACTTCTAGGCATTCCTGCTAGTATTTTATATGGAAAGATTTCAGAATGCTTCTTAACTGTAATGCTCTCTGAACTACAGTTTTCTTATTAATGTAAAGGAGCTTGTAAATTACCCCCCCTCCATTCTTCCTGTCCTAAAATCCATTCTTCACGCTGTGTTCAAGTGTTCTTTTTAAAAAGATATGTTATGATGTGGCTTAAAACCTCCGTTGACTTCCTACTGAATTAAAACAATTCAGATTCCTTCTTTTGGTCTGCAAGACACTAATTAATCTGGCTCCTGTCTGTCTCTCCTTGGTGTCTGTGCTGTAGCCTTGCTTTCATTCTTTTACCTGGAACGTTCTAAGCCCCATCTCCCATAAAGACCTTTGCATTTACTTCCCATTGACTGAAATGTAGGCTCCTTTCTCATTCAGGTCTCAGCTCAAATATCTCTGAGGAACTTTCCCTAACTAAAGTAGCAGTCTTCATTCTCCCTCATGCATTATCATATATATTTTGTATATAATATGTATTACCTTACATATAATGCATATTACATATTGCATACATTATCATTTTTAAAAATATCGTCTTCTAATACTTAACCACCATAATGTAAGATCCATGAAAGCAGGGACCTCTCTATTTTGTTTTTTGGTGAATCCCTAATGCTTAGAACAGGCCTGGCCTATAGATAGAAAGGAACCTAGGAAGGACTTTTAAATTAAATTTAGAAATGGTAGAACAAACGTAAAATTGCCCACCTGTTTCTTATCAGTACCTCCCAAGTTTCACTGATGAACACGGTTATTACAAGATTTGAAGATCCTAATCTGGTCCATTGTACTTTTCTGTCATGTCTGAACAACAGACTTTTTAAAGAATACCTTTATAGTATTTGAGATAAGTAAAATGCTTACAATTTTCTTCTCTCCCTCACAGCATCCTCCACGAGCCCTTCCACCTGTGCCGAGGTAAAAATAATTGACAGTATTTCATTATTGAGCTTTAAAAATATAAAATGAAGACAATGGAAAAGTTGACTACCGCCATTGCAAGGTTAAAATGATCCAGAAAAAAGCTTGCACTAAATTTTAGTAAATGGTTTCCTAAAATTTGAAAGATAAAATCCTTGAATCATAAGGATAACTGTTATAATTAAATGCTCTATTTAAAATCCTGAATGTCAACACAGTAGAGTAATGGATTTTTATTCTGAATGTTTTAGTGTCTTGTTTATCAGAATTCGGATCTTCTTTTGTCTGCTAGAGTAGTTTCCTCATAGTTTAAGCTGATTTTAATCAGTGACAAATTGGAATTCTTAATCTGCTTAATCTACTTTATTAATAGACAAGGAATATGTATATGTAGCTTTGGAAAATACTGGCGTTCTATTATTAGGAGTATTATCAAACAGCTTATTTCCTGTAAGCAATAATCTAGTTTGTAAACTAGCTGATGTATAAAAGCTAATTTTATTTTAAATTTGTAATGATTTAAGTCAGTTTTCAGTCTGACAGTATAATAGATTTCTAATTCTTTTTTTGTCTTTGTCCTGCTGGTTAAATTCTGTTCGTGCTATGCGAAGTGCTACTCAAGGTGAGTTACTGTTAATGTAAAATTTCCTAAATAGAGTATTTGGTGTTCAAAAATTAGTTTGATTCCTTAGTTTGTTTCTCTAAAAATTGAATCTGAGTGGTATAATTTATAATTCTACAGTGTCTTTTTGTCCTCTCCCATGACGGCCATTTTAAAAATTAGGATTGGTATATAGCATTAGGTGACCTTATCACTGTGCAAGCACTTCATCCTTGAATGGAGTCATCCAGGACACAACTTTTGGTTAGTTTATAGTTCTGCAATGGGGATTGTGCCTTTCATGGTCTTTGCACTCAGATAGGCAAGGTTGTGCTATACTGACAACCCCTAAATCCCAGTGGACTTGACATTACACAGGGTTATTTCTAATTAACGTAAAGTCCACTGTGGCAACAGTAGAAGATAGTTGCCTTTCGCCACCTCTTCACAAATGATACAGCAGTGCGGGCTGCTTCTATCAGGCATTTCCACCATGTTGACATGAGGCTTCCTCAGTTGCCACAGTAAGGGAAGAGAAAGCTAGAGGGTTGCTCACTGACCTTTCAACATTTTGGCCCCCAAATGACGAAGTCCACTTCTGCTGACAGCCTGTTGGCCAGAACTGGTCATGGACCACACCAAGGAAGCTGGGAGATATAGGGATCAGATGAGTATTTGTTGAGCCTACTTCCTGTGTCAATTTCTAATATTACTGACCAGCAGTGCTACTGGGATCACACCAGGGGCTCATTTTGACTGTGTCAATTTCTTGCCTTCTTCCCTCAATGTGTAGAAGTTAATTGGACCCAGGGAAGAGAGAGAAAATTCTTCTCTACTAAAAGTTCTCTTCTGACTATTCTCTGCATGAAATTTTAAGCAGCCTTTTCTGTTGATGCTTTTTCTACTTTATAGATGATATTCCACTTAGTCGTCCTAAGAAAAAGAAACCCAGAACAAAAAACCCGCCAGGTAAGGTGTTATTCTTTGTTGTATGGGATCACAAGTTTTCCCAGAACGTCAGGCATGGTAAATGTCACAGGTCAGGGAAAGGCAAGGCCCTGGCAGCCCCAAATCACCACTTCTTTGAGGATAGACTTAAGGCCAGCGTGAAATGGTGGGATTTCTGGTGGTAATGAGGGTCAGGGAAGTGGGCAGCCTGAGGAGTATCTAGAAGCATCCATGGAATAAAGGTTGTGCCACCTAAGCTCTCACTTCTGTAGTATTCTTGGACTCTCTGAAGTCTTTTATCCATAGACAACATAAATTGTTTTAAGGCATGGTTGGTTCCAGATCCATGAACAAGGTACTGGATTTAGACACACCAAGTCCTTAAATCTCCCATTTCAGTCAAAAGATCTCTTCAACAGTAGAGCATGAGTCTGAAGGCATGGCCTCATTGTTTTAAGTAGTGAAACCCCAATAATAAACAGTACTCCCTTTTATTCTACTTATCTGCTAGTAATCCTGGGTATTGCGTCACTAACTCAAACTCAGGATCATCATCACTTTTAAGAATAAAGCAATTTTTATTTCTCATGATTTTCTGTTAATGGAACCCACCATTTTCCCAGCACTCAGACTTGAAACCTAAAAGTAACTTTAACTCATCCTTTAACTTCACTCTTTGCTTAATGACCTCTCACAATCCTAAAAGTTTTCTGTGGTTGATGCTGGGGGTTTTTTGTTTTGTTTTATTTTTCCTTGAAAGGAGTCATATTCTGTATACTGGCTTGTTCCTTAATACATAGAGTTTTATGTGTTCTTAAACAATGACTTTATAGTATTATGTGATGAGAATGGACCATAATCACAGGTCTGTTGTTCATTTAGAGTATTTCAAACTTTTCATTCCAACTAATTGTCTATGGTGTCAGCTATAGCTCTTCTACATAAAATGTTGGGCAGTGGGGGAAAAGAGTGTTTCTGTAGGCTATATTGCTAGCAGTGGAACTGCCAGGTAAAGGACATGTGCATCGTTGATATGGTAGATTCTTTTAAATTGCTTTCAAGGAAGCTTTATTTTTATTTTATTTTTTGAGTTGGAGTTTTACTCTGTCACCCAGGCTATAGTGAATAGCACACTCATGGCCATCTTAGCATCGACCTGCTGGGCTCCGGTGGTCCTTCTGCCTCAGCCTTCCAAGTAGACGGAACTACAGGAGCGTGCTACCACACCTGACTTATTTTTGATTTATTGTAGAGATAAGGTCTCACCAAGTTGCCTGGGCTGGTCTCAAACCCACGGACTCAGGCAATCCACTTGCCTCAGACTCCCAAAGTGCTGGGATTACAGGCTAAGCCACCAAGCCCGGCTCAAGGAAGCTTTAATCATTTCTCACCACCAGTAGAGTTTGAGAGTATCATAGTCTCTATCAATTATTTAAATTTTTTTTGTTTAGTTAGTGGGCAAAAAGTAGCTTATGTTTGTTTGCATTTTTTAAAATACTAGTGAGATTGAACAATTTTTCATTTGTTAATTAATACATTTCTACATCTTATTTTGTGAAGAAGACAGGCAAGAGAATGCAGTCAAGTAAAATTCAAATCTGTCAAAACACATTATAATTCACTTGGAAGGTTTTGTGAAGTAAGAAGTTGAAATAAATGACCAAATGAAGTGATTTATAAATTACCTATTAATTTCAGTTATCCATGATGACTTTATCATTTGTTAATTTATTAGTGAAGGATTATGTTACATAAAGGCTGATAAAAATTTTTGAGGCAGGAGACAAATAAGAGAATTGTCTATGGTGTCAGATGTTACTATGTTTTCTCCCTTTTTTAAGTTCGAAATGTTTTGAAGCAATTTTGCCTTCTCTCTGTTGTTTGCTGTTCTTTCTAGCTCCCCCCTTCTTTTTTTCTTCTCCAACCTTTCTTTTCTCAATTGAAAGCCCAAAGTTACAGGCGAGGAGGGAGGAAATCAAAATTTGGGGCACAATTACTTCTGAAAAAGAAGGAGTTATTATACAGGAAACATTCTAGTTACCTTTTCTCATCTTTTTAAAATTCGGTGATCTCTGCTCGAGTCAAGGATAAAATATTCTCAAGAATTTTATCAGTTTCTATATGGTATTGTCCTTTAATAAGTAAACAGATGATAAGGTCATCGTGGATAATTGGAGTTAACAGGTAATTTATAAATCTCTTCACTTGGTCATTCATTTCAGCTTCTTCCTTCATGAAATCTTTTAACTGAATTTTAATACATTCCTTTTTTTTTCTGCTCTGTTTTTCTATAGCTTCTTTGGAAGGCCTTGCTCAGACTGCTGCTCGTAGGCCATCTGAGAGCAGTGAGGCACCAATTAAAGAACTCCAAGAGCATCCAGAGGCTCCCGTTCAAAGGAGACAGAAGAAGACAAGGCTCCCTCTTGGTACGTGCTATGGCAGATGTGATTTTGGCTATGTAATGAAAACCTCTCTGCTCTCATTCTTCCACAGCCATATCTCACAGGTAGTAGAAAGCGTTCACCACTAGAATAACTCTAATGGCTTCAGTTAAGAGTACTTTAGGGATCTCTTTTGTTCATATGCATATAGATTATGAGAGGAGGGGTACAAATTTAAGACTGAAGCAGAAAGTTCAGATCTCAGTGCATATAAAAATTTAGTAAATGATGAAATGAACATTTCAGATTACTGGGGAAAGGATAGATTGTATATTAACAATAATATAATTAAACAGCAGCCAACATTTGTTAAGCTTATCTATGTCTTAGGCACTGTTCACTAGGTAAACAAAATACTATGCCAGTTTTTTTTTTTTTTATCAAATTGGCAATGCTGTTTTCAAATTGTAGAATCAATCTAGTGTTGATAGGAAATGAGTGCTCACATACACTGCTCTTAGGAGCAGAAATAGATACAGTTTGTCTAGACTTCTAGGAATAGAAGTGACATAAGTGGCTGCAATAATTAAAGAATGTTAATTGCAACATTATTTATAAGGGTAGAAATTAGTACTAACCCAAATATGTCACAGCATGATACTAGCTAAATAAATCATATTTTATTCATCAATGGAAACCAAGTACCCATGAAAAGGATTGTTAAAGTGAAGCAGTAACATGGAAAACCATCAATAACATACTGTTATTCAAAACCAAAGCTTATAAAATAGTATTTTTGTAAAATATACTGTGTTAATTTCCTAGGACTGCCATAATAAATTACCACAAACTGGATGACTTAAAACAATAGAAATGTATTTTTTCATAGTTTTGGAGGATAGGAGTCCAAAATCCAGGTGTCTGCAGGGCCATGCTCCCTCCAAAGTCTCCAGCAAAGAATCCCTCCTTGCCTCTTCTTGCTTCTTGTGGTTGTTGGCAGTCCTCGACGTTCTTTGGCTTGTGGCAATATAACGCCAATCTCTACCTCCATCTTCACATTTTTCCCTGTGTCCAAATTTCCCTCTTCTTTTAAGGATATCAGTCATTTGATTTAGGGCCCATTCCAATCCAGTGTGACCTCATCTTAATTTGATTACACCTGCAATGATACTATTTCTTTTCTTTCTTTTTTTTTGCATTGGAGTCTCACACCCAGGCTAGATAGAGTGCAATGGCATGCTCATGGCCACCACAGCCTCGACCTGCTGGGCTCAGGTGATCCTTCTGCCTCAGCCTTCCAAGTAGCTGGAACTACAGGCATGTGCCACCACTCCTGGCTTATTTTTTAATTTATTGTAGAGATGAGGTCTTGCCAAGTTGCCTCGGCTGGTTTCGAGCTCGTGGGCTCAGGCAATCCTCTTGCCTCGGCCTCCTGAAGTACTGGGATTACAGCCTGAGCGAGCCACTGCGCCTGGCCAATAACGCTATCTCTAGATAACATCACATTCACAGCACTGGGGGTTAGAACTTGAGCATACCTTTTGTAATTTTTGGAGCACAATTCAACCCAGAACATAAGTCTATACATACATACATATAATCAAAAGAATGGAATGATGTAATTGAACTGTGGTAGGGTTTTTTGAAGGAGGAAGGGTGATTTTTATTTTCTTCTTTCATTTATATTTTACTAATTTTTTTATATTAAACATGTATGACTTTCATAATAATCAGAAAAAAGACAAAGAATTTTGAGAGAGTAAAATCCCAGGGAAGAGCAAATTTGGATTAGTGCTCTTCTATTTACATTAGCCAATGTGAATAATGTATTACAAATTGATTTTTCTGACTAATTACATGTCCTCTGGAAAACAGCAGGTCCTGATTGGATGGAAGGATAATAGGACTAGAAGGATAGGAACTAGAAAAGTTAGGAGAATGGAATCCAGTTTTGGGAGGCAAGTTGAGGTGGGATATCACAGTGTCTGTGACCAATGAGTATCTACAAGGAGAAGGATCAGGCAGAAGAAGGAACAAGAGACAGAAATGCAGCTCAGAACGGCTTTGCTTGCTCTACCATTTATTTCATTCATGGTACTACATGGCGTTTAATTAAAATTACCCTTTAGGTAATTTAGTTAGAGTGCAAATTTAAAAATTAAGATGGATACCAATACCTAGTTTTATAATTTGTGAAAAATGTCTTTACAGAAATAACTTTACTTTCTTTTAGAAAATTTAGTACCCAACTAAGACTTGAACCAAAAGGTACCTTTCATTGCCATTCGTGAACCCACCGAGCCTTGCAGTTTCAGCTGTCTGAATTTCTGGATTTAAAAGTCTTGTTTGAGATTTACTTTGTGCAAGGTGACCATGGTGGGCTCTACTGCTTGTATTGTATTTCCTGTCCAGGCTGTAAGTATTTTATTAAAACAGAATTCTAGGTCTTGAGGGCATTCCAGAGAGTCAGTAATTGCAGGGTTAGAAGGTTCCATTTGCTGGAGTCCAGCTCCAGGAGAGTCAGGGCTTGAGACGGGAGAATCAGGAAGCGGCAAAAAAGAAAAGACGAAAACGACAGGAATCCTCTTCCTGGGTAGAGCTCAAGACTCTGCCAACTTTTATTTATTTTTCACAAGCTTATATAGGTTTTCCACTCAGCCCTGTACCCACAAATGTATCTTATGTTGCTAACCAAATGCCCATGTACATCCTTTTTGCACTCACAATAAGGTTGAACTACAACAATTTCAACCACAGATGGTGTTTTTCTTAAGTCAAACATTTATGAATGTCCTGGTTTTCTTCCTAACTTTCTCATAACTATTTACTATTATAGGCCTATAATATCCTTACCCTATAAAGCTAAACCTTAACCCTAAGTCTTATTTAACTTACTTACTACTATATATTTATTTCTATTAATCTTATTTCTATCCTTATGTCTCTATATTTTCTTAACTATCACTTATACTATTATATATCTCTTATCTTACTAGTTTATCTTATCTTACTATCAATATTCTAAATTCTATCTTCATTAAACTACTTATTTAATCCTAAAATATCTTAACCTATTTTTTATCTCAAACGGTTGTTTTCCACCAGCTCTCAGCTGGGGTCTGTTGTTTATGAGGAAGCGGCCCACTCATTCTTCTCGGCCTCCTGCTGTTACTGAAAAACATCCTTACACACCCTAAGTGGCACCTTTTTGCTGCAATCTCACCTCCATTATGCCTATGTATAATTTTGCTGTCAAATACCATCATCCATTTGTGCATCTGTTATCTCAATTAAAGAGGGAACATTCTCAAGCCTATGCACGCAATCCTTCAAAGTTAGGGAAGGTCCGTCAATAGGAACCATGGGGCTTTGCCTTCATCATGGCCGCATTTTACTGGGGCCTTGCTCCCAGCCGGTGTTTTTCCTGTTTTCAGTTCCCTTTTACCTTACTTTTACTAGTGATTGCAACTCCCAGCATCCAGTGGCTTGCTTAAACCCTATATGTAGAAAAGACTGAATATAGGAGGCCTGGGGCTGCTGTCCTTTGAAAGGTTGGCTTGCAAGATTGGCCCTTATCTGGCAGTGGGGAACTTGGATGGGGAGCAGCTCCCCACACTGACATAAAACTGCCTAGCCGGGCTCGGTGGCTCAGCCTGTAATCCCACGCCTTTGGGAGGCTGAGATGAGTGGATTGCCTGAGCCCACGGGTTCGAGACCTGCCTGGGCAACTTGGCGAGACCTCATCTCCACAATAAATCAAAAATTAGCTGGGCGTGGTAGCGCGTGCCTGTAGTTCCAGCTACTTGGAAGGCTGAGGCGGAAGGATTGCCGGAGCCCAGCAGGTCGAGGCTGCTGTGGCTGGGAGTGGCCACTGCACTCCAGTCTGGGCAACAGAGTGAGACTCCAACCCAAAAACAAAAACAAAAAAAAACAACAACAAAAAACTTTCCCTAAATTATAAGGTGACTGTGCATTTTGCACACAATTGATTTCTGCTGAACATCTGCTTCCCTTCTGGGAAATCTGGAGTTTTGGTGTGTGCTAGGCTTATGTGACTAGCCCTCAGTGAAAAACACTGGGGGCTGTCAACCCCCGGTAGAGCATGTGTCACATTTGTTGTCACAACTTGTTGATAGAGACATTAGCGCATCCTGTTTGACTCCACTGATAGAGGACTCTTAGCAGCTTGTTCCTGGTTTTCTCTGGACTTGGCTCCATGTGCCTTTCTTTTTTGCTGATTTTGCTTTGTATCCATTTGCTGTAGTAAGCCATAACTCTGAGTGTCATGATTTCAGGGTCCTGGGATCCCCTCTAAAAAATCACTGAACCTGGAGGTAATCTTGGGGCTCTTCAAGACACCGTGGTTGTTGGAGTACTTAATTTTTTTCCACATTTATTGGCATTGCAATTTTGGTTTTTATGTTAAGAGTTCAACATAAAAACATTTTAAAACATTTTAAAACATTTTTAACATTTTAAAAATTACAGATTTGTAACATAGTGAAAAAAATGTTACCCAATTAAATTTCTTCAAGTTCTCCTATCTTATAAAAATCTTGTATGTTACTTTTCTTTTTATGTTTTAGTCATCTGAAAATTTATTTTGTTTTTAGAATTGGATACTTCCTTCACCCAAAAGAAAACATCCAGTTCATCTTTATTACGAAATGAAAATGGGATTGATGCGGAGCCAGATGAGGAAGCAGTTGTTCAAAAACCTCGAAGGAAGACAAAGTAAAAACTTCTTTATGCTTCTAAACATTCTCCAGGGTTACACTCATGCTTTATTTGGAGCTTCCAAACTGTAGCTTCTCATGAAGTCTAATTAAATACTTGTATCTGCATATCTCTAGGATTAATATTATAGAATATCCATTAAACCAATCTAATGGTAAATATAAAAAGTGTGGACCATTGAAAAAATACAAATATTAATATTGTACTTAAATAAAAAAAAACTTAGAAGCCATCTCTGAAAAAGAGAAACGCAAATAGATTTTATATAACTAGTAAAAAAGGTATAAGGATATTAAAAATTAAAGATAATAAAATAGGCTATTGTGATTTATTTTTTCTTATTATGATTTATATTCTTTAAAGAATTCAAATTATGATTATTTTAGCAATTAGTAAAACTGTATTTTAGCATAGGAAATTAAGACAAAATGAATAGTATACTTTAAAGAAATATACTGGAAGTTTTGTAACACTATTGTTTGTGTTTGAAAATGATCCTGCAAATAGTGCTCAGTAGCTATGTGGAATCACAAAATTTTACTTTTGGAAAGGACCTTATAGATTTAGTTCATTTACTTCGTTTTCCACAGAAAGCTGAGGCCACAGAAATAGAGGTGACTTGCTGCACATAACAGTTAATAACAGGTTTATTTGAGTAAAAACAAGTATTTTGACTCCAAGTCCTGGGCTCTTTTCATTGTATTCATGGGTCGTTCCTTATGTGGGTCTGTAAAAATTCAATACTTTTCCATTTCCTTAATATAATTTCCTAATTACAGGAAAGCCCAGCCAGTAGAAGTCCAGTATGCCAATGAGCTGGGGGTAGAGGATGAAGACGTTATTACTGATGAGCAAAGTCCTCCAGAACAGCCATCTGTGTTCACCGCACCGACCGGCATCAGCCAGCCCGTAGGCAAAGTGTTTGTGGAGAAAAGCCGTAAGTAGGTTCCTTGTTTTGGGACATGAACTCTTTAAAAAATCGCACAAGGAGATCCTTCAACTTAGTAATTATACTTCTGGAAATCTGAATTAAGGAAATAAGCTAATTAGTGTGAAAAACTGGGAACAACCTAAATGTAAAACAAGCAGGTGATGATTTCCGTAAGTTGTGGTATTTCTTATATAATAAAATATTCTGCACCTTTAAACATAATGTTTAGGGAGAACTTTTCACATTATGGAAAGATTCTAATGAAAAATTCGCACATATGTGTGCACAAACATGTATACATGCAGAATTTGATCTCAGAAAAATGCAGTGGAAGGAAATAGGAAATTACTAAATGGTGGTTGTTTCTGAGTTATGGGATTATGGGTAATTTAAAAAATCTCACCTCTCCCCTGTTTGTTGTACTTGTACTTGACCCGTTCTTCTGCAATTGGTAGTGATTGTGGTGGTAGGGCAGGTAATAATATAAATTCTACAAGTAAAAATAAATGAGAGAAAATACTTGATGGTCCCACATATTCAATAAGAAATACAACATTTTAGGTGTATATTCTTTTAAAGAATAGTCTTATGTACTGGTTACAAGACTGGGTTTGCAATGTATCTTAGCTAAGGCTGCTATAATAAAATACCATAGACTGACATTTATTTTTCTTAGTTCCTAAAGTTGAGAAATCCAAGACAAAATTCTAGCAGATCTGGTTCTTGGTGAGGGCCCCTTCCTGGCTTGCAAATGACTTCCTGCTTACTGTGTCCTCATGTGGCAGGGAGAGCTCTGGTGTCTCTTTCTCTTCATAAAAGAACACTAATCTCATTAAGGGAGCCTCACTCTTATGCCCTTGTTTAAACATATTACCTCCCAACGGCCCCACCTCCAAATATCATCTCACTGGGGCTTTGGGCTTAGAAATATGAATTTTGGGGGGGATACCTGTTTAAGAAAAAGCTACCCAAAGCATGATCATGATCATATAGTACTCCCATTGCTGTTCTACAGAGATGCTGCCTAGATTAACTCATCTGAAACGTAAAGGTTAGTCCCTAAAATTTACCATTTAGATTTTGTGTAAATTGTTTTGGAACTCTGATTTCACAAAGTCCTACCTAAGGGATCTTGGAGTTCTTGACCAATGAGAAATCTGTGGTCTAGAAAGGCTTACTGGCCTATCCAGTGTCTCACGGTCAGTGTAGAACTGGCAGTTGAATCAGTGTCTCATGACTTCTAATCAGGTGCTTTTACTTGCATATCTTGTGGCCATTTAATTTACCCCCATCTACTTTCAAGCAGTATCACTCAGTCTTCGTTTTTATTCTTGCCTCTCTTAACACAGACTTTCCTACTAGAATAACTGGCCATAAAACACACCGGTGGTTCTGTTGTCTGCAAAGAAGTTGTCTTTTCTTAGGGAAAATTGTCACACTACTTTCATTCTCCAAAACACCTGAGAGCTGGGATTGGTGAGGGTATTTGAAATGGAGCCTTTCCTGCTTGTTGAAGTCCATTTGTGGATTGCTGGATATATGAGAAGTCTCCTGGTCAACAGCTAAAAGGATAAAGTCCTGTTCACACTATATTGTAGTGCTGACATTTGAAATAGTACTTTTCTTTTTTTTTTTTTTGAGTTGGAGTCTCACTCTGTCGCCCAGACTGGAGTGCAGTGGCCGCTCCCGACCACCGCAGCCTCAACCTGCTGGGCTCCGGCGATCCTTCCTCCTCAGCTTTCCAAGTAGCCAGAATTACAGGCGCGCGCTACCACGCCCGGCTAATTTGAAATAGTACTTTTCATAGGAATCTTTTAAAGAGAAATTTATGAAACAGCACATTTCTTTTCTGCCATCACAGAAAGCCGTTCTACACACTCTGGCATCTTTTCCTCAGAAATTTAAAGTAGTTTTCAAAATACTGATTTTCCTTGATAGTGTATGCATTTAAACTTAGGCACTTCTGTATTCTCAAATTAGAATTTTGTAATTATGACATGTTTAAAGAATTCCAGATTTTATTCTGAGTTGAAAGTTCATTATTTCATTATATAGTATAATTGATTTCTAAAATCGTTACTTAACATTAATTTGGAGTTGAAAAGAAAATGCATGACATTGCTTATTTTTTCTAAAGATGAAAAAATAGTATATTTAAGTAACCAAAATAAAAGGGTCTTCTGAAATAGGTACTGAGTCAAGGAGAATTTTTAGACAGAAGAACAGTAAAATTTCAGTCATAGTCTGAGGCTTCTTGAATGTGAATAATAAAAATGACTGCCAGGGTTTTCTTGTGCTTGTTGGTAGTAATTGTGTTATGTGCTTTTAGGGCGATTCCAGGCTGCTGATCGTTCAGTGTTGATAAAGACCACAGAAAACCTAGACATGTCAATGGACATGAAGCCTTCTTGGACCACCCGAGATGTGGCACTTTCAGTGCACCGGACTTTCAGGTGGCTGCTTTTGTTGGACTTTTCTTAAACAAATGTTAACTGAGTTCTGTAATTAAAAAAAAAATGTCCTGGCTGTTCAATACTGCTAACAAAATGACAACTTAAAGTGGTGGGTAGGTATATTTTTAAAACATTCCATGGAGTTAAATAATCTACCCATCAGTGAAAGTAAAAAGAAAAAGCTTATTTTTACTTTTCATGAAATGTTGAATTTTATTCTTATATGTGAAGAGATTTTTAAAATATTTTAGCTTTTTACTTTAGTAATTCATGTATAATAATGAAACCCTTTTCCATTCAGGATGATTGGTCTCTTTTCTCATGGATTCTTGGCTGGCTGTGCTGTGTGGAATATTGTTGTAATATATGTTCTAGCAGGAGACCAGCTATCTAACCTCTCAAACCTTCTGCAACAATACAAGACCCTAGCATATCCATTCCAGAGTCTTCTCTACTTGCTTCTGGCTCTAAGTACAGTTTCAGCTTTTGACAGGTAACATGGTTATGACTACAGATCTAACTTTTTTTCAGGAGGAATTGTTGAGAAAATGTGTCACTATGACAGTTTCCAAATAGAATTATATGATTTTGATATTACATTTTTTAGGCCAGTCTATTTCTGTTCTTTCTTTGGGGGGATGGGCATCAACTTATAAGTCCAAAGTTTCATCCAACTATAATCAACTCAAAAATTCCCAAATAGTCATCTTCTAAATCATCTAAATCCAACACAGATGAGACTCAGGCCATCGTGTTTGTTTCCTAAACTGCTGGAACAAAGTACTACATGCTGGCTGGTTTAAAACAACAGACTGTATCCTCTCACAGTTCTAGAGGCCAGCAGTCTGAAACCAAGGTGTATTCAAGGTTTGAGTCCTTTTTGGAGGTGCTGAGGGAGAGTCTGATCCATGGCCCTCCCTAACTTCCAGTGCTGGCATTCCCTGGCTTGTAGATGCATCACTCTGATATGTGCCTCTGTCATCACTTGGTGCTTGACCTGGGTGTCGCTATGTCTATGTCTCTTCTTATAAGGACACCAGTCATATTGGATTAGGGTTCATCCTAATGACCTAATCTTAACTTTATTATATCTTCACAAGTACCAGGGTTTAGGAGTTCAGTATATCTTTTTGAGATCACAATTTAACCCATTAAAAAAAACAAAAAACCTTGCCTAATTATATCCTCATGATATGGATAATAGAAGTAGAAGCCAATGAAATTTTACAGATGAAGTTCATTTGTTTCTTTAGGATGTCTTAACCCCAAAGGAACAGTCTTTTAGTTAGATATTTTATGTGGACTTTGTAAATAAGATACTCTTTCGTGTGTGTTAAGTAAAACCGTAGCTTTTTACATTGTAATAGACAGTGTATGTGGTAGCATTAGAACAGAGTGGGGAAAAACTATAGTCAGGAAGATAAAGTTTTTTGAGGTGTTCAACTGCACTGTGACCAGAAGCTTTTGTATTTTCTAGGATTGACTTTGCTAAAACTTTAGTAGCAATCCGAAATTTTTTTGCCCTGGATCCAACAGCTTTAGCATCTTTCTGTGAGTAATTAGTTTAATTTGATAACTATGTACTACTTGAGTTATGCTATAATTTTGAACCAGAAAAATATAATTTTATTTTTCAAAAAGTTTTATATTATTGCTTCTTATAAACATCACTATAGAATTTACCCTAGTAAATTTGTAATTAAAACATGGTAGGCATAATTTTGATAGAATTCTTTTTCAATAGAGCTTCATCTAAATAACTTTAAAAAAATTTGTTTCTCTGCATTCTTTCATTTTTAGCTTTTGTATTCTCTACTTGACATTAAGCAGATTCAGTTGGTATGGTCTTTTAGTAACACTATTTTATGTCTTTCTGACAATTTCAAATACATTTTTGTTCTAAGTTATGAGAATATTAATAAAACTAGTTTTAGGACCTTGAGTAGGTCATTTAATTTTTTAAAAGATCTTCGAGGTTCTTGACAATTCTAGTAATGAAGTAGTGAGCATCTAAAAAGAACATTCTGCACCTGTGTTCTCAAAACATGATATAAGTTGGTCAAATGAGTTTCTTTCATGTCATCAAAATACAGATTATTTTTTACCTTAAAGTAATCTATAAATTCAAAGAAAAAAACCAAGTTGTTAAAAATTATTAGTAATTTAATTTGTCTTTTTCTCAGTGTACTTTACTGCTCTTACACTATCTCTGAGTCAGCAAATGACAAGTGACAGAATCCACCTTTACACACCTTCTTCTGTTAATGGTAGCCTCTGGTAAGAATCACAATGACATTAGCAATTGTTAATGGTAATAACAGCAACAGCGGGATTATTGGTGTTTTTCTTATCCCTCCACTCTTTTTCATGTTTTCATCTAAAACTGATAATGAAGGCCCTGTTTTTGTTGCCAAGCCTATGACAAGAAATACCTCTTCCTTTGGTCAATGGATAACTATTGTCATATACACCTTCATTTTTGACGAGTGTCTTCTTTTTAAAAATATGTTTTAGATTTTCAAGTGATAGTTTTTAAAAAGTCATCATACGACAAACTGAAGTAGCTGTGCTCCATAACTCCCTGTCTGGGAGTCTCATACCCCAGAGCAGGGATGGGAGTCGGTAACTCAGATTCAGAATACCAAGCAGTGCTCAACAGAACAGAAGAGGAAGAGCCAACATCCACAGATCAGCGGCCAGCCATGGAGCTGCACGATGGGCGAGATTTCAGTTCATAAGACTCAGATGGGCAGTCTTTGTTGAGAGTGGCCAGGATGATGGGGTAAAGAGAGAAAGGAAAGATGCTTTCTTGATGAGTGCTGTCGTGGAAACTGGAAGGGAAACTTTTAGAAAATGTTCTTGGGGACACTGACTTTCCATTTATATGAATGGAAAGAGCAGATCTGGTCAGAGTTTAAATGCTCCCATTATGCATATGATATATTTTATAGGGAAATTACATTTTCTTTGATGCTTGTGATTTATCTAGAACGACTGCTTTTTAAAAATTCGTAAAATAGGTATATTTTTAGATATGAACCCCAAATGGAGACATTTCTAATGAGTGTTTCTGCATCTCCAGGGCAGCAGGAGTTGAGGAACAGACTCTCCATCCGTGGATTGTGGTGAATCTGGTGGTGACTCTTTTGGTTGGACTATCTTGGATTTTTTTGTCTTATAGGCCAGGCATGGATCTTAGTGAAGGTATTAAATAAAAAATAGTATAAGAATATCCTGAGATCTTCTATAATGAATTTGTCAATTTTCTTTTAGTGTGCCTAGCTTCTAATGTTCCAATAACACAGACGTGTTTAAATTAAAATTATGCAAGCAGAGTGAAGTTAAAGTGGTGCCAAGAGCAGCAGGGAGGCATGCCCAGGAGGGGCCCGAAGTCCCTGATGAGGGGCTTCTGTGGCCCTATGTGTACTGAGGAGGGATTTCTTCTCTTGGAACCCTGCACACAGTGTAGTGGACATCTTTGCCCTTTGCTTTTCTCAGTCTCCTTTGGATGAAAGTGTTTCTTAATTTGAAATAAGTCACGTTTCATCTGTGTAGCCTGTGTCAGACACACACTCAAGTGGGTCATTCTTAACCTCCTCCTCTGCTTGGCACAGATCCTTAACCCTTCATTGTCTAATGCAGCATTTAGTATTCTCAACTTTAACGTGTTCAGTGCAGTGAGATTCGCTGATCTTTAGTCCTCAGCTCCTTGTGGGACACCTGAGGAAAGAGTCATAGCAGCAAAAGTGTTAACTGTTAGTGCTGCTTGAGGAACTCCTTGGCATTTGTCTTGTAAATGTTATTCGCTTGGCAGGTGTTCCATAGGTTCTCCCTTGAACATCTTTTATGGATAGTTTCTGGACTTGGGTTATCATTTTACCTTTTATCAGTTTATTACAACTTATAAATCTCAGCAATTTTAGACTGGGAGAATCTTCCCAAAATTTCCATTTTTAAAGCCACAACAAAGAATATTATTTCCTTGTATATTTTCCTTCCTGAACGTACCTTTTTGCATCTTAATTTTCATGTTGCTCCACTGAATGTCCTGTAGCTTTAGTACCTTTTGATGTATTTAAAGTATTTTTAAAAATATTGTTAGGCTTTATATATTTTACTGTTTCTCTTTCACTTGGTATAATTTTTGGTTATTTAAATAATTTTTTTATATAATACCTATATCAGAGAAATTTACTTTGCTAGATTCTTAAGGTTTTCTTTTTCTCTATTTCTTGGTATTTTAATGAATTGTGTATCTACATTAAGAAATAATTTAAATGTAGACCTGTCAGCTGATAACATGCTACACTGTGGTTGGGAGTGAAGCTACATCCCACTGGGCTGTGCAGTGTTCAGTCCAAAGCCTAGTGTGTGTTACCTGGTAAATATGTCCTTTCAGGGCCATGTGAGTAATATATATGTGGGTTTAAAAAGTCGACATAGGATGAGGATGATAATACCTAGCTTGGACTGTTTTGTGATTGAAAGGGATAATACATTTTAAATAACCTGGCACACACCTGTTGTTAGCCACAAGTTCTGCCTCCATATCTGTCCCCTACATTTGAGATTATCTGATTACTATAGGCTTAGACTTTTTAACTGCTTAAGGATCCTGGATTATCTAAGTGACTTAAAGTTGCTGGTAAGATTTCTTATGTTGTCTCCATTAAATATATGTCTTATTTTTCAAGGGTTTTATAATAAATTTAAAACTGGAACATTTTGAAATGTAAAACGTGTACATTTGTTATTAGCTAGCCTTTTTTTTTTGAGTTGGAGTCTCACTCTGTCACCCAGGCTGGAGTGTAGTGGCATGCTCATGGCCACCCCAGTGTCAACCTACTGGGCTCTAATCCTTCCACCTCAGCCTTCCAAGTAGCCAGAACTGAAGGTGTGCGCTACCACACCCAGCTAATTTTGTTTTTTTTTGTTTTGGTAGAGACAAGGTCTCACCATGTTGCCCAGGCTGGTCTTGAACCCGTGGGCTCAGGCAATCCACTCGCTGCAGCCTCCTGAAATGCTGGGATTACAGGCTTAAGCCACTGTGCCCAGCCTATTAGCTTATTTTTAAATCAGATTTCACTGTCAAGAATTCTTAGAACTTATACTTGAGGGCTTTCCTTTACTGTACATTATGCCAATAATCTAAGAAGCTGTTTTGGAGGCACTGGGAAACTGTTTTAAGTATGATCTGTTCATTTTCTCCTCCAGAGCTGATGTTCTCCTCTGATGTGGAAGAATATCCTGATAAAGATACAGGAATCAAAGCCTCTTCATAATACCAGTGCACCTTCAGAAGAATAAAGATGCAGTATTTTTTCCATTTTTGTTTTAAAATGTATTTTTATAAGATGTGTATATGTGTATTTGTAATAGATTTTTGATTGTATAATACTGAAACACTTCTCAAGATTATGAAAAATGTTAAAACTGTATCTGCTGTTTATACCAAACATCACATTCTGTAGCCTTATCTTAATGACAAAGGAGGTAATGAGCTAGAAGCCCACCAGAGAAAATGTCTATCCCTCCTGTTTTCTCAAATTAGTTGTGTTTATAATCATTATCTTAAAAAGCACTTGTTCAGAAAAAGTCATAACTTTAGTGTTATAAAATATATATCAGATTTAAACATAAATTTAGGGAATAGGGCAGAAGGGAAAAAAGGCCTTCGTTACTTATTTTTCATGTCTCCTTAATTAATTGAATTATGAAATTTGTCTTTTTCTGAAACTGACTTATTGGTGATGTATCATATAATAATTGCAATGTAACTTAGCTTTGAAGATGCTTTATATCATGGCTAATAAAATGTATATTTTGTTTGAAAAATTTTATGGCCTACAAAGTTACTTCTCTTTAAAATCTGTACCAGTGGTTTCTATATCTGGTTGCCTGTCAGGATTACATAGGGAACTTTAGAAAATATGTAGCAGAAGAGCAGTGGAGCACGTCAAGGCTCAGCGGAATGAGGAGAGGCCTTTGACTTGTGAGGCTGACACTCCCAGGTGACATCTGCAGTACCCTTCCCTCTGTCTCTTTGAATGACAAGAAACATGAGTAGAAATTCATTATCCCTATTCTCAAGCTCTTTGTTGGGAGATCTTTGGCTTTCCAGGAGATTCAACTAGTGAGGTGGGCCCTGCACTGGGAAAGGTCTCTTTACAGCTGTATCCGGTGGTGCCTCAGCTGGTGTCTGTGACACCCTAGAGCTCGAGATGGTACCAAGACTTGCTGTGGGAAGAAGTGTCTCCAAGGCTTTTGAGCTCATCAGTAGGACTGCTGGGTCTGCTCTGATGTGCAAGCAGCTGAGTGTGGTGGAATGGAAGAGGGTCAACACGTTGATGGTAGAGTTGGGTGGGTCTGAGAGTGGTGCAAGCACCATACTGGGAATGATTTTTGCTGTCTGTAAGGCTGGAGCTGCTGAAAAGGTGTTTTTCCTGCTGCCACAGCGTTGTGAATGTGCTAGCAATTCTGAAGGCATCCTGCCAGATCCAGCTGTCACTGTGGTCAGCAGTGGTTATTCTGGTTGCAAACTGACAATATAGCAGTTCATGATCTTCCCTGACAGCACACTTCAGGGCAGCCATGCTCATGACAGCCAAGCAGGGTCACCAAGGAGAAGCAGGAGACAGCTGCTACCAATGTGGGACTTATGTTAGGCTGGACAATGTCCCCAAATATGTCCATGTCCTGATCCTGGGAACCTGGGAATTTATTACCTTACATGGTAAAAGGGATTTTGCTGATGTGATTAAAATTATAATCCTTTATATGGGGAGATAGCCCTGTACTATCTGGGTGGGCCTAGTGTAATCTCATGAGTCCTTGAAAGCAGAGAAGAGAACTGTTTGTGTCTGTGGTCAAAAAGAGGTCAGAAAGTAATGATGTTGCTGGCTTTGAAGATGGAGGAGGTGCCACAAGCCAAGGCAAGTGAGTGACCTCTAGCTGCTGAGTATGGCCCAGTAAGAGATGGATTTCAGTCCCATAACTGCGAGGAATGAACCCTACCAGCATCCCAAGTGAGCCTGGAAACAGACCCTCCCTTAGAGCTTCCAGATAGGAATGCAGCTCTATGGATGCCTTAGTTTTGACCTGGTGCTACCCATGTCAGTCTTGGTCTACAGAACTGTATGACAGCCAACATATATTGGTTAAGTTGCTAAATGTGTGATAATTTGTTTTGTTTTGGGTTTTTTTTTTTAGTTGGAGTCTTACTCTGTCGCCCAGACTGGAGTGCAGTGGCACGCTCCCAGCCACCACAGCCTTGACTTGCTGGGCTCCGGCGATCCTTCCGCCTCAGCCTTCCAAGTAGCTGGAACTACAGGCGTGCGCTACCACGCCTGGTTAATTTTTTGATTTATGGTAGAGATGAGGTCTCGCCAAGTTGCCCAGGCAGGTCTTGAACCCGTGGGCTCAGGCAATCCATGCACCCCAGCCTCCCAAAGGCGTGGGATTACAGGCTGAGCCACTGAGCCCAGCATGTGTGATAATTTGTTATGGCAGCAAGGGAAAGCTAATACAGGGTTTGGGGGAGTTTTGCTCCCAGCATCCTAGGGAATAAAGAAGGTTAGAGCTGCTACAGAATGCAACCGGGAAAGCTGGCTACGTTGATAATATTGTAATTGGCATGGGCATAGTCACTTCTGAATTCCTTCAGGTCTGGGAAGTACAACCCAGGAGGTACATAATCCTGAGCAGCTGGTGGACCTGTATAAATCCTTCCTCAGTGAAAACACAATGGTGCCTACCAAAGATTCCTTTGATCATGATAATTAGAAAGCTTGGAAGAAGTTCACTGCTAATGCAGGAATGATCTTGCAGTGATTAACTCGAGGCAGGTTACTAAGGCTGTGGATGAAAATTCATGTAACCTCCAGCTTTCAGTAGGACAGATTTGTGGGACATTATGGTTTCTTATTACTCACTGACTTACGATACTTTCATGGCCAAAATGGTGTTGAGGCACTGCACTGGACAGATAACATGGGCACCTTGCCCAGTGACAAAAGGCTCAGTTTTCTAGAAAGAAGTCCTAGCCGATTAGACTTTGGACAGAAAAACCCATGAAAGTTTCAAGCATCAGCCAGCTGAGTAGACCTCTCCTCTTGAACCAAACACGGAGCCTGAGGCATCAGACCAAAACTCATAGGTGCCTTGACATTCAACTCCTTTCTCCATTGGGATGTTCTCACTGCCTTGTTAAAGTTACTATGCCGGAAGCCAAGCTCGATCAACTAGAACCCTATTGGAGTTCCCAGCCTTGAAAGCATACGATTGGATCAAAATCATCATTTTTCTTATGTTTCACCTCACATCAAGTGTGAGTAGAGTGATAGAGTTTCTGCGGTGTCAGAAGGCAAGACCCCTGGTGGAACTTTTCTTATTGCAAAATAAGGTATTCAGTAATGGCTGCCTCTGCCACCCCATCAAACAGAACAAAACATGTATAGACTCCTAGGCTTCATGCTCATAGATTCACATTCGATAGGTCAGAGGTGGGGCCTGGAAAACTACCTTTAAAGGAAGGTACTCCTGGTGATTGTGATATAGCAGATAGAGTGGTCAGCATTTGGGACCTCTGGCCTACCTACACCATTTTAGTCTAGTATGAAGCATAAAGCTCAGATTGTGATCAATGACTTGTTTTTATCCTGGTCGACTAGCTAGGCTTGTAGGACAAAATGAAAAAAAAATGAATAAAGTGTGGTACCTGTCTTCTAGAGGTTCAAGAGTTAGTCAGAGAGACATAGGTAGGGACAAGAGTGGAAGAACCTAGAAAAGAATTGTAGGGAAGGGTGGATGTGAACAGGGGTTTTAAAGGATGAAAGGGGCATCCCCTGGTGGAGATGGAGACGAGGAAAGGGCAGTACATGCGAGTGAGCCCTGAGTGTTCTCTATTTGAAAACCATCAAGCAAAAATGCTCAAAGGAAGTATAATCGTAACTGCAATCTAGACCAACTTAGATTAAATAATTGTTAAAATCTTGCCACATTATCTTTTTTTTATACATCCTGCTTTTTTTCTTTTGAAGACTCTTGAAAGCAAGTTGGTAACCGTGGCTCTTTGCCCTAATATTTCAGATGTATCTTCAAAAAATAAGGGCGTTTGTCAGTGTGAGCACAATATCACTAAGATAGCCAGAAAACAAGAATTTCAGAATATCATATATCTGGTCCGTTTTCAGATCTTTCCACTTGGTCCCCAAGATCTAATCAAGCTTTGCACATTTCAGTTTTTTGTTTTGTTTTGTTTTTTGTTTTCGAGTTGGAGTCTCACTCCATCACCCAGACTGGAGTGCAGTGACACGCTCACAGCCACTCCAGCATTGACCTGTTGGGCTCAGGTGATCCTTCCCCCTCAGCCTTCCAAGTAGCCAGAACTACAGGCATGCGCTACCATGCCCAATTATTTATTTATTTATTTATTGTAGAGATGAGGTCTCGTCAATTTTCCCAGGCTGTTCTCGAACCCGTGGGCTCAGGTAATCCTCTCACCTTGGCCTCCCAAAGTACTGGGATTACAGGCTTGAGCCACTGCGCCCGACCTGCTTTGTACATTTCATTTGGTTGTTTTCTCTCACTTGTCTCTTAATTTAAATTGGTCTCTGTAGCTTTTGGTCTCTTCACTGGCATTTTAAAATGAAAAATGTCACCAAGATGATTGTGGATCCATGCAACCATAAGAAACAATACAGAGAGATCCTTTGTACACGTTGCCAGTGTCTCCCAATGATAACATTTTCCAAAACTAAGTAGACTGTCACAACCAGGATATTGACCTTGATACAACCCATCCGTCTTACTCAGATTTCCCCAGTTTTACTTGTACTCGTGTGTGTTTCAAGTTCTATACAATTTTATCACTTGTGTAAAGTCTGTGTATCTACCACTAGTCAAGATATTGAATAGTTCCCAAACCTACAAGAACCCTGTGTTGGTCTTATGTATCCACCTGTCACCTCCCTGTACCCTTTTCCCTGCACCCCTAACTCCAACTCTGGCAACCATTAAGCTGTCTATTTCTTTCTTTTTTTTTTTTTGCGTTGGAGTCTCACTCGGTCCCCCAGGCTGGAGTGCAGTGGCTGCT